GAGAATTCATTTTAGCTTTAAGTCAAAATTAGGCGCCCACCTGGAGAACGAGGAAATTTATTTCAAGTTTTAAGTCATCAGGCGCCCACCTGGAAAATGAGGGAATTTATTTCAAGTTTTGAGTCAGCATCAGGCGCCCACCTGGAGAACGAGGGAATTTATTTCAAGTTTTAAGTCATCAGGCGCCCACCTGGAGAACGAGGGAATTTATTTCAAGTTTTAAGTTTTCAGGCACCCACTTGGAGAATGGGGGAATTTATTTCAAGTTTAAGTCATCAAGCGCCCACCTGGAAAATGAGGGAATTTATTTCAAGTTTTGAGTCAGCATCAGGCGTCCACCTGGAGAACGAGGGAATTTATTTCAAGTTTTAAGTCATCAGGCGCCCACCTGGAGAACGAGGGAATTCATTTCAGTTTTAAGTCATCAGGCACCCACTTGGAAAACGAGGGAATTCATTTCAAGTTGTAAGTCATCATGCGCCCACCTGGAGAATGAGGGAATTTATTTTAAGTTCAAGTCAGTCACAGGCGCCCACCTGGAGAACGAGGGAATTCATTTTAGCTTTAAGTCAAAATCAGGCACCCACCTGGAGAACAAGGGAATTAATTTCTATTTTAAGTCAGCACAGGCGTTCACTTGGAGAATGAGGGAATTTATTTCAAGTTTTAAGTCAGCAGGCGCCCACCTGGAGAATGAGGAAATTTATTTCAGTTTTAAGTCATCAGGCACCCACCTGAAAAATGAGGGAATTTATTTCAAGTTTTAAGTCGCAGGCGCCCACCTGGAAAACGAGGGAATCCATTTCAAGTTTTAAGTCAATATCAGGCGCCCACCTGGAGAATGAGGGAATTCATTTCTATTTTAAGTCAGCACAGGCACCCACCTGGAGAATGAGGGAATTTATTTCAAGTTTAAGTCATCAGGCGCCCACCTGGAGAACGAGGGAATTTATTTCAAGTGTTAAGTCAACATCAGGCACCCACCTGAAAAATAAGGGAATTCATTTCAAGTTTTTAAGTCAGCAGGCGCCCACCTGGAGAATGAGGAAATTTTTTTCAAGTTTTAAGTCAGCATCAGGCGCCCACCTGGAGAACGAGGGAATTCATTTCAGAGTTACTTCAAATTTCAAGTTAGTAGCAGGCGCCCACCTGGAGAATGAGGGAATTCATTTCAAAATTCATTCCAAGTTTAAAGTCAGCATCAGGAGCCCGCCTGAAGAACAAGGTCAAGTTTCAGTTTTCAAGTTCATGTCAGAGACGACAGGATCCCGCCTGAAGAATAGGGGCAATCTCCAGTTTTTGTTTTCAATTCAAATCAAAAGTAGCACAAGTTGCTTGAGGAATAAGGTTTTTACCTCGAGGCACAGGGTTCAAGATGACCAAAAAAGAAGTCTCAATCCAAAATAAAGAAAAGAAAAGGAAAAGAAGTAAATCCGAAATACAGAAGCGGATGAAAGGATGTGGATTGCTCAAGACATGGCTGAAGTCACAAGCTTTGCATGTCGCGTCTTGATCCAAAGAAACCATAGAAGAATGAACTAGCACCTGCAGCTAGCAAGCATCAAGGTTCAAATTAAAAGTCTGCATGAAGAACCATTCAAGACTCAAGATCAAGCTTCAGAAGACTTATAGATAGGAATCTTGTAACTCATAGCTGATAGGGTTGTTTAGTTCCTTTAGATTTTGATTTTTATGTAATAACAGGACCACGGACCGGAGCCTCGACGGAACCTCACTCGACTCCTCAACCCATCATTCCATCCTCCCCTTGAACTATACGTAATCTGATTCCCTTATGACCCGGGATATGTAGGCTGTCCAGAACCAGGACTCGGTTGCACCCTTTCCTTTGTTTATTTTCCCTTTTGAATAAAGATTTGGTAAAAAATTAGTCACACGGCTCACTTTTGTCTTTGCCTGAAAACTCTTTATGTTCCCAAGCAAAGAGAGGCAGCTGTGAGCACCTAATTTTTTACCATACTTGTGATTTTTCAACATTTTTTAGTATGTAAATAATTTTAAGTTTAATCTACATATTTTAACCTTAACTTCATTTTTAGTAGATTTTATTTAAGAAAATTAAAAATCACAAAAATTATATGTTCTTGATTTTAAAATATTTAGCTAGTATTTTTATTTTACACTCTTAAAAATATATATATTAATTAATGCAAGAGTCAATGAGTCATTTCCGTGTGGCAAGATTCTTCCTTATCTTTTGTAACAAACTCACATGCTCTCTCAAAAAATGCACATGCCCATACACACTCTTTTTCTTGGCCACCAATTAATCCCTATACCTAGACCTATATATTTTTCACTCACCCAACACACAAAAGGGGATAGATCTGAAAATAGAGAGAAGGGGGAGAGGGCAAAACAGAGACGGAAAAATACAGAGAGGGGATGAATAGGCAGTGAGAAACAACACTTTAGAACAGAGGATTCCACTAATTTTCTCACTATTAACACCATAGAACAAAGGGGCCTCCAAGGTCGTTCTTAAAGTTTGAAATAAATTCGAGGCTGAGCAACAAAAATGCGATTTGGTTGAGAAATCCGAGTTTTTTTTTTTTGAAAAATCTGGTAGTCGAGTTCCTATATGAGGTCGCAGGTTCGTTGGTTCCGTAGGATGTTCGCGATTTATGTCGCTGATTTGGAGTATTCTAAGTCGAGTTAGCGACATCAGATTCATTTGCAACTGTTGGATTATTTCTCTTGTTTAATAAAGAAGACTCGCACCAGAGGTTCCTACTCTTATCCCTCTATTATTTCAAGTTTAACTCCATGTGTTGTTATGTGATATTAAGCATGATATTGGCCCATTGTCTTCTAACTCTTCTGGGTTAAAGTTCTTGATGAAGTCATTAGAAATTTGGAGTATTATACAAAGTTATAAAATCTGTTTTCCATATGAGTTTTAATTTATAAGAAATTTCAAGATTTGCTTTAGGTGAAACTTTGGTCAAGGATATCTTGATTCATCTAGTTCTGACCATTTTCCTTCATAGTTTTTTTTTATCTCTATTGAAATTTAATTTGGTTCCTAATATTGCCAAAATTATTTTCTCACTGCCAAAGGGAATGATAAGTAGTATATTGAATTTTTTTTCATAAATTGGATATGAGAATTCACATGGTTTAGAGCGTGGGTATTTGTGCGTTTTCTTTTAATCTTTTCCCTTTTTTTGCATATGGTTTGGGCCCTACTTTGTCAATAACGGTAAATGGGTTGTATGTGCTTGAGAAAAATTCAGGTGATATCTTTAAGTTGTCATTTCTTGTCGGCTTCACATGGTATTAAAATGTAATTATAATCTTTCAAAGCCATCATCTTTGTTTATAATTGTAGATTGCTTTAGGCGCGTAAATAAATCATCGTAACTATGGGTACGGTTCCCGTGGCATAGTCAAGATACGCAAATCCCAATTCGAGTGTGCGTTTCACGTGACTCGACTATAACTTTAAATATTAATAAAAATAAACATGTCGTAAATCGTAGGTGCATTTCATGTGGCGCGGTTTGCAATGTGTACCAAAACGACAAGTGTACGACATCGTGACTTATTCCATAAATACTAAAAACGGTTTTAAAAGTTAAAAATACACAATAGGTTTTCAAACATGTAATGAATCAGATAATTAGGCCAAGTATTAATTATTAAGCGACCGTGCTAAAACCACGGAACTCGGGAGTGCCTCACACCTTCTCCTGGGTTAACAGAATTTCTTACCCGATCTTTTGTGTTCGCGGACCATAAATAGAGTTAAATTTCCTCGATTTGGGATTTTAAAATAAACCGGTGACTTGGGACACCATAAATTATTCCAAGTGGCGACTCTGAAATAAATAAATAATCCCATTTCGATTAATGTCACTTTAATTGAAAAAACTCCCCTTATCCCATATCCCTCGGGAAAAAGGCGGTGTGACACTGTTGCTATTCATTTCTTATTTCCTCTAGCATGTTTTTCCCTCCCGATACTTCCTGTCTAGTTCTTTATTACTGTTATTTATATATACGCTGTTAAATTGTACAGGTTGATTTGTAGGTGCCTTGCCTTAGCCTCGTCACTACTTCGTCGAGGTTAGGCTCGACACTTACCAGTACATGGGGTCGGTTGTACTGATACTGCACTCTGCACTTTCTGTGCATATTTTGGTACCGGCTCGGGTTGATTGAGATTTTTGCTATTGGGCCGCTATCCGGAGACTCAAGGTAGATCTGTCGGCGTTCACAGACCTTGAAGTCCCCGTCTATCTTTTCTGTTCTAATGTTTCTATCATTCAGACAGTTGTATTTCTTTCAAACTATCACTTGTAGTAAATTCTAGAATGCTCGTGAATTGCGACTCCAGATCTGGGTGGTAGTAATTAATATAATTTTTTTTTATATTATTCCGTAATTATTATATTTCATCTTATCTAATTATTGTTATTTACTGAATAGGAATAAGGATTGGTTTAAATGATTCTCTAATGTTGGCTTGCCTAGCAAGTGAAATGTTAGGCGCCATCACGGTCCCGACGGTGAAAATTTCGGATCGTGACAAATTTACTAGACATATTGACTCACAAAAGGATCTCGCCTTTTAATAAATCAAAACAATAAATAACACACATAAATAATAATATTTATATCAAGATTAAGAGTATAAGTATATTTAATGGACTAGAAAATTATTTTATTAAATCAGTATAAAATAATTATTACATAAAGAATACTAAAACAAAATACATAGTTTATAATATATCCTAATAAATAATACTCCGTCGGTTCCATTTCATATGGCCTTATTGATTATGCACAGGTTTAAAAACGAAAGAAAAAAAAAGACTATAATTTATGGTTCGAAATAAGTCATATGACTTATGCGATTATAAATAATCGTATTATGAATAAAATAAATTTTAAATTAAATTAAAGTATCCCTCTAACATAAATGTGTCGTATAAATTAGGATTGACGGAGCAATTTGTTTTTAGGTGTTTTGAATTCTTCAAATTGGAGTAAGAAAGTAAATACTTGTGAAGTTCATAATTTATTTCTCTGATCCGATTTGAGATAAATAATAGAGTAAAGTCGGTTGTTTTCCATCCCATGTCTTACTAGCAACTGGCAAAACAGAAGAATAGGAGAGACGCCGGCCTAAGCAGCCGAATTACCACCTGTGACCTGACAAACAAGAGCACCTTTTCTTGTTTTCAACTACAACTCCCTTGATATAAATTCACAACACTTCAGAAATTGTCATCTCCGTTTTTTCTCCTAAATCAGCTGTCCAAATGAAGAACAAGTTTTTCCTCTGTTTTCGACCTCTTGAAGTTGCAGAGGACTCTCTTATTCGCAAGCATGGTGTTGATCATCACTCTTCTTCCAAAAAACATCATAAAGAAAATCCAATTGTAAGTCTTTTGTGTTATTTCTTTCGCTTCAGTTTTCTTATTCGCAAGCTTGTTACCCGAAAATCTATCTGAAATAATCTCTTAACGTTGAGAAGATGGACACTTTTCTCCTCACATCCCATTTATAAAAATACACTGAATTTTATTGTTGTTGGGTTTATGTATAATCTTTTTATGGTTTAATTTGCAGTTGAAAACAAAAGGTAAGAGGCGTAGTAGTAGAAAAGACAAGTCAGTATCAAAAGCAAGCTCTTCATCATCTGAACTTTCTTATTCAACTTCATCTTTATCATCAACTGCATCATCATCTTCAACTTTTACAGAAGATGACTTATCAAGATCAAACTCAAACTCATCAATCTCATACGAGCAGAAAGACCCTAAAAATGGTTCAGCAGAATGTGACAAATTAGTCATGAATTTTAGCTCGTTTTGTTTGTATTTTTTTGTTTTCGTTTTGTTTTGCCTCATCTATATGGGTAGGGTTTATTCAATAGTTGCAACATCATTAGGGCTAATAGTTTTGACCTTATTCGGACGCTGGAAATTGGAAAACCCTATGCAGTTGCAGGAAATGAAGTAAGAAAACAGAGAAAGAAATCCCTCTGTAGTCAGCATGGTACGACAACGTTTAATTTCTGAGTTTTTTTCAATCAATTGTGTAAGTTTCTTCTAGGTTTTTGTACACTATCTTTTGCCGTGAAATTCTCAGGCATCACAAATAGAAGGTAAAGGGGTTGAAGACTTCAGTTTTGCAGCTGGATAAAATCTGGAATTTTAGATAAACATCAACTCTCTCTGTTTAAATTTTAATAGTCTTTGCTTTCTTTTTAGTCCGTCTAAAAAGAATGTTTTGATTTACTAAAATTTTTTTATAAGATTGTCATAACATATTTAAGAGCCTAAGATTTAAAGGATATATTTAGGTTATACATATTTTTAGTTTAATAATATATAATTTAAAAGTCTTTTTTATTTAAATTTTATATCTCGTCAAATTAAGACAGACATAAAATGAACGGGGAGTAATTAGTGTATTGTACAGTTGTATTTAGAAAATATCTATACCATTAGAGATGTGATAAGATTGTTAGTATCTCACTATCTTTAAATAAAAGTCTCACATTAAAAGCTGAGAATAAAGAACCCTTTAGTAGAAAGTATTTTTCTTTCTTTCATAGGTTCATTATTGTGATTCTAAATTAATCGAACTATTAAGCGGACTATAAATAAAGATTGAATGGTTAAAAAGGAGTATTATCTTCTACGTTAGTACATATAATAAAAGCAAAAGCTAAGCTTTACATAGTAGCTTGTTTCAAAAGTGAAAAATTAAAGGAAGAATCTTATCGAAATTATTGCCTCGTCAAACATCATCTTCTACGTTGGATAAATATTACTTTTAGTCCGCGCTAGAAACTATTTATATTCTTTAATTAAAAAAATCTATAAAATTTGTATAATTTTTATATATAACATACGAAATATACATATATACTGTTATTTTGAGACATGCTATATAATATTATTTTCTCATTATTATTGCCTCGTCAAACAATTGATTGTCGCTATCCCTAAGGTTTACTTTTGGGCGTTCGATAGAGAAGGTTTAGATGAGCATTGAATTAATTAAATGCATTCTCGTCAATTTCATGATCAGCTTTTGTGCCACGAGCATCACGCAAAGTGTCCAAACTTTTTCCATATAGTATTGATAAATTATTTAACTTTTGCTTCATACAGAAGTTAGGTTATAAAAATAAAACAATACAAAAAAGAAATTATAGAATGAGATTTCATTTTGTTTCCTTCACCTTTATTTTATGTTCTCGCCAAACTATCATGTTCGTGTTTGTTTATTAGAAACTTCAAAATTAACGTTGAGTTTTTTTTATCAATCGATTAAAGGATATTTACAAATGTTTCCCAACACAAACTGATATAGACTGATACTTTAACACACACTAGTCAAGAGAATACCAACAGATTAATATAGAGTCTATAATGATAATAGTTTTTGCTTAAACTTAGAAATGTTTTAATTTTTGTTATACAACGTTAGATACTTATTCGGAATGCAATTCAATGAGGATCATATAAGGTTACCCGCAAATCTGCATTTGGGAATTTTAGATAAACACTAATAATGTCAACAAGGCAACTAGGATGCTCCCATAATAGCTGAAAGAGAAAATTATTCCAAGTAAAATATTTCTGCTCTAGATGACTAGTTATTGCATAAGCAGAGAAATAAAAGAAAAATAGTATGCTCTTCATTCAAGAAAAAAGAAGAAGAGGAAGTAGTAGGGTTAAAATTAAACTTTTCGGACGGGTCATTATATTAAATTGTACCAATTCATCATAGTTATGTGATTTTATTAGATGAAAATATATACTTTAATTAACCATAATTAAGTGAGATAAGTTTATTTACAAATATGCACTTATTGATATGTGTAAACATACTATGCGAGTAAATTTTTATCGAATTTGGAGTATAAAGATTAACGAGTCCAATTTTCGGTATAGATTCAAATATGTACTTATTTAATAAATTTAAATAGAAGCTACATGTTTATAAACTATACTATATAGAGGGTACGTAGTAGAAATCACAATTTGTGGATAAAGTTGGTGAAAATACAATTACAGTTTGAAAAACAAAATGAAGAAAATAAAATATTTTCAGACTAAGGCGCGAATATCTCGATCTCTTTAAGGAGATTCAAGCTCACTGCAGCAAAGTCTTCATTGGACCAGCAGTAATCCTCTTGACTTGTCTCCCCCAGGATACAACAGCCCGATCACGTTGTATGACTCGAACAAACTCTAGATAAGTTGTTGAGTCCAAAGTTCCACCAAGATGAATACCTTCCTTCAACAAAAGTAAAAAACTTTCTTCTTCTTCTTTCACAACCTTAATCTTACTTTATTGAAACACTCTACAATTATTTCTCACACCATATTATGGAAGAAAGACTCATATTTATAGGTGTAAGAATTCTTCCTTGAATTAAATTGGAAGAAAGTGGGGTAATAAGTTATGAAATCATGGAGAACATGGGATAATGGTTAACTTATTATGTAATTAGTGGTAGAATATGGGAGAAGAGTTACAAAAGAGTTATGTCCATTTTCTACATTATGGAGTAGTGGGAGTTATGACATATTTTATTTTAATAATAAAATGATATTATACGAACATTCTCCCACTTATTTTAATATTAAAATAAGCGAGTTTACCAGTTGAAGGGAGACTATCATGCATAATGAAGGTCTGCTTTGCATTGAACCTCCAATTATCAAAGCAACGATTTTTACTCTAGAGTCAGTAGTGGTCTCAGACTTTAACTATGACTGCTTTAGGGAAATAAATTATCACTGCATACACATAATAATCAAGGTGTTGGCATGAGCTTTATTAGCCAGCACATTACGGCCCTATGCTATCCCGATTTTTCATGAGTGTTTTCGAAAACAAGCCCAATTCTCATAGAAAATAAGCCCAATTCTCATGCCATATGGATGGAACAATAATAAAAATAGTGCATTTCAAATCAAACCATCATATGATTCGTTGTTCCCATTGAACCTGGTTATAGGATTTCTAGTCCCCAGGTTGGGTTTCCTCATATATGACTTATGAGTTTATAGGCTTCAATCCCATCCTCCTCGATGTGCTCCAGACCCTTTCTCTTGCTAAGGCTTTAGTCAGTAGATCTGCAAGATTATTACAAGATTTAACATAGTCAACATGAATGGTACCACTTGTCAAATATGATCTCATAGTACTGTGTTTTCTCCTTATAGGTCTAGGTTTACCGTTGTAATAACGGTTTTGTACTTTACCAATTGCAGTTGTGCTATCACAATGAATTAAAATATGAAAAATTAGTTTTTCAAAATAAGAAATTTGAAATAATAAATCTCTCAACCAATTCGCTTCATCACTAGCTGAAGCTAAAGAAATTAGCTCAGCCTCCATGATAGAGTTAGCAATTATTGTTTGCTTTTTTGATTTCCAACAAATGGCACCACCTCCCAAAGTAAAAATATAACTTGTAGTAGAACAGGAATCACCAGATAAAGTGTTCCAATCTGCATCAGAAAAGCCTTCGAGTACAGCAGGATATGTTTTTATAAAATAAGCCATAGATTTTTGTACCAAGTAAATATCTCATAACTTTTATTATGGCATGTCAATGTTCATTACCTGGCTTGCTTGTGGTCGCTTACATTAACATGTACGCAATAATAATAACAACAACAATATATGAGAACATGAATAGAAATTAAACCGGTAAATCATATCAACAATCAAGCCAACTCGGCAGTCATAACCAATTATTACTTAAATCACTTTCCGTTGCGGCGTGCAACCCGATCCCACAATATATTCATATTCAATTTCGTTGTTGCGTGCAACCCGATCCCACAATATATTTATTTTTATTTAATTTTATTGCGGCGTGCAACCCGATCCCACAATATATTAATTTTAATTTAATTTTATTGCGGCGTGCAACCCGATCCCCAATATATCTTTTCAATCAATTCTGTTGCGCCGTGCAACCCGCTCCTCCAATATAATCATTTTCATTTCTGTTGAGGTGTGCAACCCGCTCCTTAATAATATAATTTACCAATTCTTATAAAAGAAATTATTCCAATAAATGCAACAATTAATATGAAATTGTAAGACAACAAGCATATAATAATTATGATTTACTTAGAAACAAGTGATGACAAGTAGCAATTAATTGTGGAAATTAAGGAGTAAATAAGCAATTTAATATTTAGTATGCTAAATGTCAAGTAACAATTAAGTCACAAAAATCAAATAAGCATGTAGCAAATATAGTATGATTCAATTCATAATATTGAGCAAGGAATATGAGAGAAATAATTAATTCATGACTTAAAATAATTTATGATTTCCAGATAAATTAATGTGCAAATAATCAATTTGATGGCGTATTGGCACTTGTCATCTCGCATATACGTCGTTACACATGAAATTCACGTAACAATAATTCAAGGGTTCTATTCCCTCAAGTCAAGATTAACCACGACACTTACCTCGCTTCGCAACCAAATTCAAGATACCAATAAATATTTGCCTCGCGAATTGATGTCTGAAAGTTTCAAATCTAGTCACAAACAATTCAATATTCTCAACATGAATTGTATAAATTAATTTCATATGAAATTACTAATTTTCCGGATTAAAATTCGAAATTCATTTCAAAAACCGACAGTGGGACCCACGTCTCGAATCCCGAAAAACTCACGAAATTCGAATACCTATTTCGATACGATTTCAACCATACAAAAATTATCGAATTCCGACATCAGATTAGCTTTCAAATCTTAAAATTTTATTTTTGGAAGATTTTATAAAAATCTAATTTTTCTTCCATAAATTCACGGATTCATGATGTAAATGGGTATGAAATCATGAAATATAACTAATTTATGATAAATAATACTTATCCAACTCAAACTCATGAAAATGCCTCTAAAATCGCCCAAAACCGAGGTCTAAAACTCTAAAAATGAACAAAAATGTCGGACTCCGGACATATATATTCTGTCCAGGCAAGTCGCATCTGTGAGATGCGACTTGTCTCAAACTTTTCAAGTAAAAAATTGTAGTACCAGCCTTCAGTCAGTCGATTATAACTTTCTGTATGAATGTCCAAATGATGAATGGTTTATCTTTCTGAAAACTAGAATCAAAGCGC